TACAAAAATTCCTGTTATCGGCAAACTTCAAAAATCAATACAAATTATTTCTTTGAAAGTACAAAACTATTTGTTTTCTATTTTTCTGTTTTGTTTGCTAAAACGTCCAGTGATTATTTTTTACATATGCATTTGAATATGATTACTGTTTACAAATACTTGCATAAGAAACAGAAAGACAATTGCTAATGACTTTAAGAAACGAGGCAAAGTCTAAAAAAGCCATTTGTAGTCCCAACAGATACTCTTTCCAGTGGGCACAGGGGGATCATCTTTTCATGTCCTCAGCATACATCCCAGTGACGTCTATGTTCCCCACAGAGTTGAAACAACCAAAGTTTTGTTCTATTCTCCCCCAAGTAGGAATTATCTCCTCCAACAAAGTTCCTTCAGAGAGCTGAAATCTGTATTCCCCAGCCGAGTTTTATAATTTCAAACAGTTTATAAAACCTCCTCCCGGGTAGAGTTTATTTCTCTAACTGCGGAAGTTTATTCCCCAATAGAGTTTATTTCTCTACATCGGAAAAACCTTCCAACAAAGAATTATCTTTCTCCATAAAGTTATTCTCAAACAGGAGTAAAGATTCCCCGACAGATTATCCTCAAACGGAAGAAGGAAATCCCTAGCAAATCATCTTCATTCATCATCCCCAATGGAAATGAAGGATTCAACTTCCCAATACTCTTCAGCAGTAGTCTGGGATTTACTTTCCCAGACTAAGAAATATCGCAATAGCATCCCATATTCATACATCATGGCATGCGCATACACATCTCATACAACATAATCTCATTTATTTTGAGAACATCATCACAATGAATTTCATACATCATGACTTTGTATACGACTAACTCTTTACCGTTTTCAGGAAAGATCAAATCAACAAACACCGTTGACTACTTACGTGACCTGGTAGTCTTCTCAAAAGCTACATTTGATGAAGGGATATTTCATCAAGATGTGTGAGTCCCAAGGATCCCAAATTTTCTTCATTGTCCTAATATGTCTTTAATATCATCCATGCCAAATTTCATGCCTTGCACAACAAGTTTGCTCAATAAACTGCTCAAATGCTGGAAATCAACTATACTAGGTCAAAAGTAAATTGTGGCCTAAATACAGTCAAACTTCAAGATTTTTGGTCAACATCAACATTTTGAAGTGATATCCATCATTTGATCAAGGGTTGATCATGATTCCTCAAGAAATGCTCCTAACTCATTAAAAGTCAAAAATGACAAATTAGTGTTTCTATAGGAAAAGTTAACCAAACTTTGACCAGGCATAACTTTCTCATACTTTATCAAAAAAAATTCCACACAGGCTCATTTTGAATATAATCCAGTTCCCTACAACTTCTCTTCAGCCCTCAAGATCAAGAAATTCCTCAGTTAAAAGATACAAGCTCATACATTATAGGTCCTTTCAAAAAGTCAACAAAAACACCATTTGGGTCAAAGCTCCTTACAAATATGGAAGATCCAATTTTGGAAAAGTGCATGAAGCCAATATTGACCAAACTTGAATTTTTTCCAAATGGGCCCATGTTTTCATGCTTGAAACTTTTTTCTAACATGGCCCACGACCTCTGAGATCACTCATACATTATTTCAGTATTTTTATTATTTATTTTGCTTTTTATTCATTAAAATTCAAAATGAAATAAAGAAATAATGGAAATTATGTAAGATATGATTTTAGAATCTTTTTCTCATCAAATAAGGGATAAGATAGGCTGACATATCAAGGAAAAAACGCATGGGTCAAAGCTCCTTACATGAATATGGAAGATCCAATTGAGATGAAACCAAAAATGTTGTTTATAGATCCTCCTAAGATCTCTAAAAAGTCCAAGAACACCCTCTTAGGGTTAAAAATGAGAGAGATATGTGATGCTAAAGTTGACCAATTTTGGAAAAGTGCATGAAGCCAATATTGACCAAACTTGAATTTTTTCCAAATGGGCCCATGTTTTCATGCTTGAAACTTTTTTCTAACATGGCCCACGACCTCTGAGATCACTCATACATTATTTCAGTATCTTCTTGTTTTAGCAAGTTTTGCATTGAATATTTATTCTTTAAAAAACATCATCATAATTGATTCTTTTGGTTGTGTTTTAACCTAATAGGATTCACTATATATACATGACAATATGCCAAGCCCAAGAACACGTGAAAGCTGCCTCTACAAACCCTAGCAAAATTCCAAATTTTCTCAAAGAGAGGTGAAACTTATATCATACGATCTAGTCATATTTAATCCATTCCAGGTGCTCCATTATCACCGTGAGGTTCCCAGGAACTTGTTTCAACCATTACTCAAGCCAAATTGTGCCCAGATCATTGTAACCAAGTGCCACCGGTTTGGTAAGATTTGCTAAATTCAAAATTAATGATTCATGTATTGTTGACGTGTTTGATGTGTTATTTTGTGTTCAGGACATCCATTAGAATAGGTTAGACGCTTCGCATGAGAGCTTTGATGCTTGAATCACAAGAAGAAATTTTTAGGGCATCTTGGACTGAAACCTTTGAACCTTGAAACATAGGGACTTTTAGGCTAAATGGATGCCACTATTGAACTTGCAGCATATGATTTAGGGGGGGGGGGGGGGTAGGCTTAATCCCTTGCTTTGATTCACGTTATTTTGCAGGTTGAGATTTTTGACATCACCGGAGAAGAAAGATTTGACCACCGTGAGGGGTGATCAAACTCACAGGTGCAGGCGTGGCACGGTCCTTGCTTTCCATTGATCCATTTAAACTCCAGGGGCCCACTAAGCGCACACATTTTACTTGTTGATATATTTGACTTAATTTCACATATATATTTTTGCTTTTTTTATGTTAACGAATGATATAATGGCTAAGTGGTAGAGAGAACGCGGGCAAAGGGAAGAGACCTGGGTTCGATTCCCAAGTCTTGAATTTTATTTTTCTAATGAGTTTCCTGCAGATCCAGTGTAGCCAGGCTATTCACGCTTATCATGGGCTAACAGGTCAACACCATCACATCTAAATTGATCCAGATCCAGCACCCAGTGATGCTTCCCCATGGTGGACCTCCCTAACACAACAACACCAGATCCAGTAGAGTTGTGGGCCACCAGATCTGGGCCTTGGCAAAATTCAGCAGCATATCCCCCCAATTTTCTTTCTCACCCCTCAAGGCCATTTTTTTAATTAGTTTATATTTTTTGTTTATTCATTTTTTTTAAATCATAAAATCATAAAACCATAAAAATAGGACTTAGAATTTTTTTTAAGATAAATTAATTTTTGCAAATTAATTTAATTTAATTAAATTTAATTTGTTTTCCTTAATTTAAAATAATTAGAGATTAGGTTAAATTTCAAATTTTTCATAAAAAACATCAAAAAAATTTAATCAGCAATTAGAGTTAATGGTTTCAAACGTAGGCCAGTCTTAATTTTTTGCGCGTTATTATTTTTCATACGATTAATTTTTATTATGTAACAGTGCCCGATTTGTAATAGTTTAATTAGGGTTTTTAATTTCTGCACTTTACTTTTAAGTCATTATTTATATAACTACACCAAAGCCCTGCATATAAACTGTTAGTAAATTAGGCGTGCATGACAAAAATTAATCAATTAATCATTAGGTCACTAACCTCAAGAATAAATATTTGAAAAAATCACACTGTTGCACACTTGCACCCCTAGGGTATTTCCCATTTTGGTTGCCTTCAAAAATGATCATGTCCCTCGAACGTAGGGATACTCTTAGCAAAGAGCCTCAGTTTAAAAGTCATCACAAAGATCATGGTCCCTTAATGTCCCTCGAGTTTCCTACGAGAAATGATCTTGTCCCTCGATGTTGCCTAGGAATATATGAGACAGTCCCTTCAAACTGCTAAGGTAACTCTACATGTTGCCTTCAATGACTATAAACGTCCCTTTCGATAATCCCTCAACATCCAACAATAGAGATACCTACTCATTAATAGTAGGATAACACTATCTAAAGGATAGTAGGTAAAGAACATCCTTTTTCGATTAGGTAGATAGTTGTTAAGTACTTGCTCAAATCTGATTCCTTTTTACACTTACACACTTTCAAAACTTTTTTCCAAAAAAAATGCTTTATCACACTCTTGAGGACTGATACAAGAGTTATCATAAAGCAAATAAAATATTTCAAAACACACAAACACGAAAACAATTTAAAAAAATGGGCAAGTACCTAAGAGCCCGTAGAAAACCACAGATGGAAAGGGTTCTAACACCTTCCCTTTCCATAATCTACCCCCCTTACTCAGGAAATCTCGAAAAAAAGGTCTTTTTGTATTCTTTTCACTGTTTCCTTAGTTTAGATAAAAGAAAAGTTGGTGGCGACTCTTGCTTACTGCAACATTTGCGAATACAAACGCAAAACCAATACTAACAGTCAGTTCTGCCACTGTATCATAAGTATTATAGTTAGCAAGAAATTCAGGCGTTAAGGCCCATACTGAAGTCCAGAAGCAACTTCTTTTTTTTATCACAATCCTTATTCTACCAAAAAACATGCCATTAGGGCCAAGACAATGGTGATTGATCAACCTAATCACCAATATTTATCCAAAGCAAATTCATATTATTCTCAGCCATTTTATTATCAAAAAGAAAAATAAAAACAATAATTTATGAACAATGAGAAGATACGGTGCGACTAGGGTTAAAGATATGTGCCGCCCAGCCTTCCATGATAAAGTATCTCATTTCTTCTTCGCAGCCTTAGATCACCGCCGGTCACATCCAGTTTGACGCTTCACCATCATCCATACATCGCTTTTGTTGGTCTCCGCTCATCATTTCTCATCACTCACCTTCACGTCTTCCGATATTTCCGCGACCATGACTCCGACTCTTGAGTGATTCCTCTCCATCATCAAAGAGATTCCGAGCAACTAATATATCGCCTTCGCGACACTTCCACTTTATTGAAAAAATTCATTCTTCATTTTCTCACCACCGTTTCCTATTTCAAAGCTTCAATAATTTATGCAGTGAAACGTGGTTGTAAAGAGGATTTGATGATGATTATAGATGAATATATGCAAGAAGGTTACAATAACCTTGAGAGTGTAATGATTATTGAAGATCGATGAAGAATCTGTTATAGACACAGCAGAACCAAAAGCTTCTTGTTGAAAATATTGTTGATGACTTTTTCTAAACATATATGGTTTTCTCTGTGTAACTAAATTGTATCCTCCTACGCGTTTTTCCTTCTTCTTATCTACATGTATGAGATGTTACTGTTGCAATGTGAGGTAGTGATATGAAGTTGCAGATTGATGCGGTTATTGAAGATGCAGTAGAAGATTGATTTGAAAAATGATGATGTTGATCTGTGATGCAGATGCAGATTCTTGGAAGTTGACGATAGATGAAGAAGATGCAGAGATGCGATTGTTGTTCTTAAAATTAAAGACGATGATAACTAAGATTGAAGTTTTCAGGAGAATGAAGGACGTTGATGATGTTGAAGATGATTGATGTCTATGGAAAGATGAAGAGGAAGATCTAGTGATGCAAGCTCAGAGAGGGAGAGAATTCTTTTGGTGATATTCTAGAAATTCAAGGAATTATGATGGAGATCTTGACGCAAAGTGGATGAAGACGACGTAGTTCAGAAAGAATTTATGCGATTTCAGAGGGATGTTTTTTTTTGGTGAGTTTTTTTCTGTGTTGAATAATTATCCGTGTATGAATCATCCTCTCCCCCCAAATGTGTGAGAAGAATTCTGTTATATCATATGAAAAGTTTGTTAAATCGAAATTGATCTGAGCCTTTGATCGAAGAGTTAGTTACAAAAAACTGAATGGTGAGATCTGAATCACTGATTTTATTTCCACCCTTTCTATTTTCTGTTTTGAAATTTTCCTAGTTCGGTTATATTGTATTACAGCAGGACCAATTTTATTTTAGTGCAGATCTGTACTTTGTATTTAGGTTTTTGTTATAGTTTGTGTATGACTTCATGTTTTACAGGTTTAGAAATTGCAAGTGGTGGATTATGGCATGGCTATGTAAGGCACGAGTTATGTCGAATTGGGGCAGGGCAGTATTATCGCTTTTGATGGTTAAGGCATCAGTTTTGGGTATATTTGCAACATGAAGCAAAGTCCTAGGCAAGGCTTGAAGAGTTAGTGAAATTTGATATTATCAACATAGGTTTTGGACTTATGATTTTTTTCTGTGTGATTATTCCTTTTAATGTTGCTGTGATAACATGATGTAACCGTTGATTTTTGCAATGTAATATAAAGGCATGGTTTGACATATTTGGACAAGGGATGATGGATTGCTTGAAAACTTGACTGAAACATGGATAATGAATATAAGTTGAACGAAATGGTTGAATAAGCTTTATGTCAAAACTCTTTTAATTCCAACGTTGCCTTAGAAACTTCAAATTTAATTTGTGTGAAAACCATGCTTTTTTGTTAAACTTGAAACCTTAATGAATAAGTTCTAAACAACTTGCATTTTTTACAAGAATTCCAACTCCATTCAAATCTAATCCACACCAACCTTGCATGATGAACAAACACGATGATACTTCCACCAATCTCGATCTAAGAAGGAACCAGGTACTTCCCTTGATTGAAATGGGATCCTCAATGCCTTCAAAAACCCTTGAGAAGTGTAGAGAAATAAACTCTACTTCAACCTTGGTAATTTGGAGAAGAAAAGCTCTAAGCTCGATGAGAAGAGATCTCTAGGATCTAAACCCTAACCTTGTTGATCTTTTGAATCAAAATTTCTGGTGTATTAGGATAAGACTTATGATGCCACTGTTTTAAGAATTTTTTCAAGGGAAAATCATTCATTCAAATAATCAAAACCCTAGCCATTTCCAAATCTATGATGAAACAGATAGTCAACTTGAGATATCCTAAGGCCTGAGCCCGATAGCCTGAATGATCAAAATAATGAGGAGATGAAATTCATCTTGGACTTCCTGACAATAAAAATAAATTCCATAGCTTGGAGAAAACCATAAAGACCATAAAACTTGATCCCATCTTAAAATGAATGAATGTGTATGACGAAACATAAGCCACAAAAGTAAAATGAAAAGGGAAAATTTTGGGGTGCAACACGACCTTGTCGCCTCCTTGGGGAAGTTTGACAAGCCCATAAAACCTGATCTAACGCCTTATGCCAATTCTTTGGTTTCATAGAGATGTGTCTCTTTATTGAATTGATTATCACTTTGTTGGCATCTTTGACCTGACCGTTGGCTTGAGCATAATAAGGCGTGGACGTTACCAACATGAAGCCTATTTCCGATGCAAACTCTTGCATATTTCGCACAATAAATAGAGATCCTCGGTCCGTAGTGATTATCTCAGGAATCCCAAATCTATAAATGGTACGCTTTTGAATGAAGTGAATCACTGCCCTTGGTCGACACTGACCAATGGCACTGCTTCTATCCATTTCGTGAAGTAGTCTATCCCTACTAGGATGAACCTTTGTTGTTTTGACGAGGGTGGTCAAATTTCTATTATGACATCTACCGCACAACCTCGAAACAGCCATGACTTAACGATCGTGTGCAATTCGCTTGCACGTATATGTTGAATTCTTGCATTCTTTTTGCATTCTTGACAGTCCTTAGCAAAATCAATACCATATTTCAACATACTTGGCCAATAAACACCCTGTCGAAATAGCAACTATTTCATTTTATGGCCTGCTTGGTGAGCCCCACAGGATCCACTATGGACTTCGACTATTGCCAAATATGCTTAAGTATCTCTTAAACATTTAAGCAACGCCCTTTCATGGGTCTTTTTGAACAACTCATTTCCCATGCAAGCGTAACTCAAAGCCCTATATTTTATTTTCTTATCCACATTTTTGGATGTGATTTCCAAATACTTCATAATTCGCTTTCGCCAATCTGTATCTGACAAATTGTTAATAGCAAAAAATTCAAATTCAAATTTTTCACACTTATCATCTGTATTATCTGCCCTCATAGTTTTTGAGATTGGCAATGTGGAGGATGGTGATGAGAATACCTTCTCTCTTACTTTGACAAAAATTTCCAGTTTGTCAGTGTATACCTTGTACCCCGAGGCAATTTGCGCCAAATCATTGGCCACTTGATTCTACAATCTAGGTACGTGTGTAATACTCATCACTTCAAAGTGTTCCAACAATTGAATAACCATTGAAAAATAAAAGAAGAAATCATCTTTGATGCATTTTCTATTCTCGAGTGATTTTCTTAATCACTAACTCTGAATCTCCTTTAATTTCGACCCTTTTTGTGCCCGAGTCTTTCAATAGTTTAAGCCCTGTAATCAACGCTTGATACTATGCTTCGTTGTTGGAGCATTTTCCATCTACCCTACATTTTAATTTTGTTGATACTCCTTTTGGAGATATAATCAAAACTCCGACACTAGTTCCATTTTTATGGCTTGACCCACCGAAATATAATTTCCAGGGTCAGTGTCTACCATGTTCACTGCTGATTCTATTATGGCACGATTGACTATAAAGTCTGCAATAATTTGGCCTTTCATGGCCTTCAAAGGCATGTAAAATAATGAAAACTCAGTTAAGGATAGTGCCCATTTTCTAATTGGACTATCCAAAATTGTTGTGGACAACATATGTTTAATGACATCACATTGAGATGAGACATAAACATCAACTTGTTTAATATATTACTTAAGTTTAACACATGAGAAATACAAACATATGCATAATTTCTCTATCATGTTATACCTAGTTTCTGCATCTATCAATACACGACTAAGGTAATAAATGGGTCTTTCGACTCCCTTATCATCCTCTTGGGCTAACATGCTCCCTATTGTTAAATTTGATGCAGCTATGTACAATCTCATGTTCTTTTCTCCTATGCGGTAATAAAACATGAGGCCTCGTTATATATTCTTTGATTGTGTCGAAGGCCTCTTGCTGCTCTTTCCCCCAGTGAAAGTCATTCTCCTTCTTAATCTTTAATAATGGCGAAAAAACCTTTGTTTTGCCACTTAGATTTGAGATAAATCTTCTCAAGAAGTTGATTTTCCATAACAAAGATTGCAACAGTTTCTTTGTCGAAGGATGCTTGAGATACAAGTTTGCCTTTGGTTTTCTTTGGTTGATCTCGATGCTTTTTTGTATACTACAAATCCTAAAAAATATCCTTACAGTTCTGATGAACTTACTCTTGAGCAGCCTTTTTATCTCTTGTTCAATCTTCAAAGTTATTTCCGGGGTGAATCTCCTAGGATATTGTTTTACTGGCCTTTTTCCTTGTTGAATAGGCAGTCGGTGTTCCACAACTATTCAACTCAAACCTGGCATCTCGCCGTAGTCCTAGGTGAAGCAATCTATATACTCCTTTAGTAGTTTCATCAACTTAACTTTCATTTTTGGCTCAAATTTAGTGCTAATGTAGATTGGTCTCTTGGTTGCGTCGTCTCCCAGATCAACTTCTTCTAATGGATCTTGTGCTTACATGTTTAGTATTGGACATAGTGGGTCTTTTTCAAACCCCAAAGGTTCATTATCGTATATACAATCTAACCTCCGGCTTTCTAAAGCTGTTTTTTGGTATAGTTGGCTTCTTAATTTTTTGTTTTGGATTTGAAGGCCATATTTTGCAACTTCTCAACTTTTAAAGCTGATTTCCTTTTATTTTCAGCTACATAAGCCGAAATTCGAGCCAAACTTGCTAACTCACTAGTCATAACATTCGACTACAGACCACCCCATGTGAAGCCACGACCAGGATCTAAACTTATAAAATGATTTGTGTTTTCATTGGAAGCGTTATTGTCATCATCACAAGGCGCTACATTCGCTAAATGTTGGTCGAAAGAATTATTTCCACCTTTCACATCACCGACTTTGTAGTAGCTTTCATAAGCTTCTATATTTTCTACTACTCCATCTTTTCTACAAATGGAAATTATTTGGTGCAAAGTCGACGGAACTGCACCTATTCCATAAATCCATTCACGACCAAGTAATAAATTAAAGTTGGCTTTAGAATTGATAACCATAAATAAAGTTGATTTGGTTGTTGTTCCAACAACTAATTCTACTTGGATGACACCCAATATGTTACTGGTCTTTCCTTCATAGTTTGATAACACCATGTTGAGAGTTCGAAGCTCTGACTCACATATCCCTATTTTCTTAAGC